ATATTTTAGAAAGTTGGAAATCCCTGTCAAAAATAGTTGTCAGATGTGACTACAGTTGAATTAAACCAGAGACATATCTGGCTTATTCTCTCTGATGCACCTTTTTCAGGTATTCATTTTTAATTTGTGCTGTTTTCTTAGCTTTGCACACACATTGATCCTCACCTCCCCAATGCACTTTGCCAACTTCAATGAGAACAGATTTTTAACCATCAGGAAAGTTACATTTTCCTTAGCAGAAACCAAAGGTGAATCAGATGCAATAAATAAAAATATTCCAATGTGTGCATAGGAAGAGGAGGTGGATTTTCCTTAAAATTTTAAGGTAAATTGAGTGAGGTGAATGTTGATTGATTTGACAGCCTTGGAAATGGATGAATTCTTTCTATTGGGGGAAAATGTACCCAGAAGCACTACATACTTGCACAATACTGCTACCACAATATTTCTACTTCCTGATTTGGGAGGACCACCTATAGAGCTGTGATGTTTGTCCAGTTTCTATGCCCATTTGATCTTTGACTTTTCTGTTTAGACTGCCAACGAATGTGTTAACTGCTGTGGTTTTGGTCATGCAGTCCTCTGTCCACTAAGAAATGGACTGAGACCAGTAATTCATTTCACATTTCTGGAAGAGGACATTTTCTCCTTCTAACAAAGACTTATTCTGTCCTTAGTTACCTCTGTGTGAACCTCATTGACTTAAATATGGCTTCAAAGGATGTGATAGAATCTGGTTTGGTGTGGAACCATACATTGTGCAACCTGTTCTGAGGACAAAGGTCTTACTGGTCAAACAAACAACTCTTTTTCAAATGTTTAGAAAACTTCCAGTAGTAACCACGAGTAAAATTCTCAAAATTACAAGTCCTTTGGTTCCTCAGCTCCTGTACCTATTTTTGCTAGTGGAAATTCTTAGTTGAACCCCACATAGCATTTTCACCAGATTATTAACCTTGGAAGAAATAGAGTATTTAAATGGAAATAGTCTTCTTAAAGTTTGAGTCAGAGATGCTTACACCAAGGAGGAAGGGAAGCATGCTTTTTGTTTCCTTGATATGGCATACTTTTGTTTCAGTTGTCCTAATAATCTTGTCCTTTCCATGGTGTATGCTAGAGCTATCAACTCAGTCTCATGAGTCTGCAAGCTTTTACTCCATGTCCAAGGTCAAGCCTATATCACTTTCTGGTTGAACCAGGAATTGTTGCTGAGAAACAAACCCTGTTCACTTATTCTACCTTGTTGCTGAGCCTGGGCACATATAGGTAGGGACCTACTGACTTCATGGCAGAAGTGGGCTGTGTGGCAGCTCCTTGAATCTTGCAGGTTCCCCTGCACACCCTGTTCTCCCTTGCTGTTGCCTGAGGGACCCCAATGTTTCTGTTGTTTGTTGCTGACTGGCTGGGAGGCAAAAACAGTGCCATATTTAAAACCACGTTTTTGCCTCCCTGTCTGTCAGGAATGAGTGGTGGGGCCCCTCTGTCAATCAATGGGGGTGTAGGGAGAAGGCCCATTGGGTAACCTGCAAGATTAAACCTGCATGATTCACTGCAGTCCACTTCTGCCATGAATTCAGCAGGTCTTTGTACATAGGCTAGGTACAGACATTAAAAAAGTTCAAGGTGGAATCAATCTAAGTTATACGGTTTTCTATAAGAGGTGTAGTTTAGATTGGTAATGAACAGAACACACATTTGCCCTTTGGTGGAGGGAGAGGGGGGAAAATAGTTCTGCCATTTCTAAACCAGTATGCTGGATTTCTGTTCTGTTGTGGGTATAGACCAGTTTGCAACCACTTGCACCAGTAAAACTGTAATGTCTGTACTTGGCCATAGAGTGAATGTTAAATTTTACAGAGGCATCCTGGGGGTATGTCCAAACAGTGCTGCTGTTCAGTTCTTTGTCTCAAAAGACCATGTGTTGGAAGGCAAGAAAGAAGTGGCTATCTTCAGAAATGTTCTCCTAAGTGAGGTGCTTCTACCTCTAAATCAATAGGCAGAGCTAGCATCAGAAAAGACAAAGACCTTGCCTCCTTTAAATAACAACTTTGCCTAATCAAAGGCATAGCATTGGTTGATTCTACTTTGAAACAACATTCAGTTCACATACCTAAAATGGAAGGTTGCCACACCATATGTGCTTTTTGACAAAATATTTATTTCTAAATAATAAGTAACAGAATAATGATGGCCATTCTAATATGTGGTGCATGTTGAGATCAGGCAACGTACAAGTAATTTATCTGATCTAAAGCGGACCTCATGCTGAGAGGAAACCATGATCTCTCTTCCTTGCATGTGTGTGGTGAGTTGATGGCAGTATGCATACTGCCAATGTGCATATAAGCACACACCCAAAATGGTTATAGAAACATAAATTGCCTGATCAACCAGATTGCCTTCTATGATGAGATGACTGGCTCTGTGGATGTAAGAAAAACAGTGGACCTGATATACCTTGACTGTAGCAAGGTTTTTGATCTGGTCTCCCACAACTTTCTTGAAAGCAAACTAAGGAAGTATGGGTTGGATGAATGGATTGTAACTTGGATGAAAGCTGCCTGGGTCACTGGGCTTGACACTGGTAGTGATCAAAGACTCAAAGTCTAGTTTGCAGCTGGCATCAAGTGGAGTGCCCCAGGGGTTGGTCCTGAGGCCAGTATTGTTTAATACCTTCATTAATGATGTGGACGATGGGATGGAGTGCACCCTCAGCAAGTTTTGGATGACACAAAGCTGCAGAGAAGGGTAGATATGCTGGAGGCTAGGTCTAGGATTTAGAGTGATCCTGACAAACTGGAGGATTGGGACAAAAGCGATCTCATGAGGATCAACAAGGACAAGTGCAACGTCCTGCACTTAAGATGGAACAATCCCATGTATCAATACAGGCTTGGGACCAACTGGCTAAGCAGCAGTTCTGCAGAAAAGGACATGGGGGTTACAGTGGCAAAGAAGCTGGTAATTGGCAACTGGTGCCTCCTGAGTCTGGGGGGGCACCAGCAGCCTATCACCAACTGGGGGGAGGGGTCCTCCAGTGGACGATTGCCGACAAAACCGGAAGCGCTGCTGGTGCTTCTCAGGAGGGGCACCAGCCAGTGCTCCCCACTCCCTCGCCAGAGAGGGCCAGTCCCAATGCATCACCTATGAAGCTGAGTATGAGTCAACAGTGTGCTCTTGTTGCCAAGAAAGCCAACAGCATACTGGGCTGCACTGGTAGGAGTGTTGCCAGCAGATTGAGTGAAGTGATTCTTCCCCTCTATTCTGCACTGGTGAGGCCACACCCAGAGTATTGTGTCCAGTTTTGGGCCCCCTGCTACAGAAAGGATGTGGACAAGTTGGAGAGAGTCCAGCAGAGGACGATGAAAATGGTTAGGGGTCTGGGGCCCATGACTTCTGAGGAGAGGCTGAGGGAACTGGGCTTATTTAGTCTGCAGAAGAGAAAACTGAGGGGGAATTTGATAGAAGCCTTTAACTACCTGAAGGGTGGGTCCAAAGAGGACAGAGAGACTGTTCTCAGTGGTGACATGACAGAATGAGGAACAATGGTCTCAAGTTGCAGCCAGGAAAGTTTAGGTTGGATATTAGAAAAAAACTCTCTCACTAGGAGGGTGGTGAATCACTGGAACAGGTTACCTAGAGTGGTGGTGAAATCTCCATCCTTGGAGATTTTTAAGACTCGACTAGACAGCTTTGGCTGGGATGATCTAATTGGGGATGGTCCTGCTTTGAGGAGGGGGTTGGACTAGATGACCTCCTGAGGTCCTTTCCAGCCCTAATTTTCTATGATTCTATGAAATTAAGGAAGTCCTTCTGAATAAAAGACCTGACAAATTTCAATGAACTTTGGTTACTAAGTTTGCTTAAAAATTTCAGCAAATTGAGTGAGTGGGATTTTGCGAACTCCTGTAAATTTTAGTTACTTTCCTTAAACTGATGGTTCTTTTACCCAAACCTATTCTTTCCTCCCTAGTTTTAAACTGCTACAACCTCTGCTTGTCCTTGCAATTACTACTCTGAATAGTTTCCTCTTGGTGTTCAGTGAAAATTGTAATGTGTTCTTCTTGTGTGCTTTAAGAACTCCCAAGATGCAGATTACATTTTAATTCAAACATAACTGCAAATATTTTTCAAAGCTTATTATGGGTTTGCAAATTAGATGTTTGGTAGCTTCGAGTTACTGAATGCATTTTGGACTGGAAGCCACCCAAGAAATTGCGTGCTTGGACAACCACATTGCAAACGTGGTAGAGGAAAGCAAGGAGGAAGTGAAGTTTGCCTCAGTCTACATAAATTGTGGTCTTCAACTAATCCACTTTGACCAATTTGTAAAAAGAATTTCCCTCTATCTTGGTGACCCAGCTGCTGGATATAAGGTAGTGTCAAATTTTTCACAGAGCACTACCTTAAATTTAAGTAAGCAATAATAAGCTTTAGATTGCCAAGTAAATTTTTACGATGTATTGAATTTTCTGCATACACACTAGTTAATTAATTTTCAGTTTATGCTTCTTACCTTTTACTTAGCTCATTATTTGTTAGTTGTTTTTTTAAAAAAAATGTGCTTCTGTTTTCCCACCCCTTGGTGTTTCACTACTTAATGAGTAATTCGACAAAGTAAAATGATGTGTGCTGTGACTTCTCTCAGTACACCCTGCTACAATAATGGCTGAAGGGAATGGGAAAGCACCCTCAGCTTTGAGCTTTCTGCTCAAGCAATATGGAACTTGGGGCCAGATTTCTGCCTCATTCAATTATGCTGATGAGCATTTTTCTCTACAAGTAAAAATGTTCTGGCAGTGTTCCATTTTTAATTTGCTACTAAACAAAGAAACAAACGCCTCCCTTCTATCCTCCTTCCCCGCCAATAAAAAAAAAAGCAAAAACCTTGTTGGGGTTATCTGTAGAAGGGATTTCAGGAGGAGGAGAGAAATTTAAGTTTACAAATTGTAGATTAACAAAATACAATATTTACAGCTTATGTTTTTCAATTCCCACAGGAAATTGTTCTGGTTGTATTTTTTGGTGCTGAATATGTGGTGCGGCTATGGTCGGCAGGTTGCAGAAGTAAATATGTTGGCTTGAAGGGAAGAGTACGTTTTGCCAGAAAGCCAATATCAATTATTGGTAAGAGTCCTATTTTTGACACTTCTCTGTTTAGTATCTAGTTTAAGGAGCAAATGTTGAGTTGCTGCACGAGAACATAACAATAGACTTGAATTCTTCTGTCCTTCTGAGTCTGTCACTCTCTTCAACTTGGTTACCTTGCCTGTATGGGGCAGAGACTCTTTCACTATGTGTTGGTACTGTGCCCAGCTCAGTAAGCTCTGAGCTCAATTGGGCTAGGTGGTACTATAATACTAATAAATTGTAGAACTAATATTGGATTTCTTGAAAGAACATTTATGGATTTGTCTTCTGTCTATGCATAAAACTAATTGATCAGGGATAATCCTATCCATATATTGTTTCCCTGGTGGGGAGGAGAGGGAGCAGCAGTATCTTTGTATTGCTGTAGAGGATAGGTAAGATGGCATGGGGAATTTCCTTCTGAGAGAATCTTTCCCCCTACTTTTGGATATCTTTAGTCACATGGTCACTGTAACAGGGAAAGTGGTATGGCCTCATTTAAGGGCAGGATTTTTGTAGCACAGGCAACCAGCAGAGTGGAGGTTAAGGAACAGTCCTATGGTCAAGTCAGCTGTCAGAGGAGTCACATGACCAGAAAGGAGCAGGACTTCAGGACTATGAGCCAGAGCAGGGAGTTAGACCTGGAGAGCAGTGGGGTGAAGAAGCCTTGCTGTGAGATGGCTGATACTGATGGTTGCCTAGCAGGGAGCTTTGGGAAAACAACCTGAGGGACCTGATTCAGGGCCTGGAAGAAGTATGATAGGCAGCCAATGGGCTGGGTGTTTGTATTGCTGCCAAAAGGCTTAAATTTGTGTTTGTATTTTAACCAGTAGTTCTGTTGGTACTAGAAATGGGTAGTTTGGAGGTCCCATTAGTGCCTGAGGGTCACGTGACTGCCTTGAGCCTTGCCAGGGGTCAGAATCAAAGTGTAGACAGGGTCTTGGGAGTCCAGTAGTGCCCAGAAAGGGGAGAGATAGCTCAGAGGAGGGTTGAGCTTGCAGTCAGAGGGCTTGGAGCCCAAGATTGGTGCAGATAGCTCAACGAGGGGCAGAGTTTAGGGCCAGGTGGCCTGGAGCCTGAGTGGGGCAGAGATGAAGGCCCTGGAGAGCAAGATAAGGGTTGAAGCCTGGAAGCCAGCTCCAGAGAAGTGGGCCTTGGCTAAGGGGCCAGCTAGAGTAGAGTAGCAGAAACAAGGAAGGCTGTAGCCTCAACATGGGAATAAAGGCCTGAGGTGGCCTGGTGGCTTTAGGGGACAAGTGTCCTGACTGAGTGATGATATATAACATATGTGAGGCATGGGTGTGGTGTAAGGGATGGTTGGAGCCATGAATTAAGCCCTTAAAGCCAGGAAGATCAGGAGAGTTGAACACTGTGGAAGAGGGAGCAACCTAGGCTCATCAGTCTCTGAGAGCAGCCTCCCTTTCATGAAGTTTCCATCAGGATGAGAAAACAAGGAAAGACCTTGAGAAACAGGGGAGAGAGAGGGCCTGGCAGGGATGTAGTGCCCTATAGGGGGCATCGCAATGGTCCTCGGTCACCTAACGTGTTACATTCATCATCTTCCCCTAACCCTAATTTCTCAGGCAAGGTCTTAATGTGGATGGGAGGACATAATGGGGCAGCTGAGCAGAGTTGAGGAGGGAGCAGAGGGTTAGTTTTGAGTGTATTATGTAGGAGGGAGGAGGAGGTGAAAAAAGCAACTATGCATGTGTTTTGTGCTTTGCTTGTTATACCCTTTCCTTTCCTTTGCTCCCAACCCCATTTAGTTTAAAAACACTTTCTGAAGGGCATACTTCTTCATGTAAATTTGCATATCACCTACAGTGAGAGAAATAACACCAGGGCTAAGTCAAAAGCCAGAGGCTGAATTGATTCAGTCTTTGCAGGCTAGTCTAAGCTGTAAAGATTGAAGCAATAAGCAAATGAACAGACATTCACTTTGGATTCAGGAAATGTAGATCAAGCCTTTCTTTTCAAACCGGTTGGGGGGGGGGGGGGGGGGGGGAGGCAGGGGTGTGCGACAGTTCTCTGGCACATAGTTAGCCTGGGATGTGTGTTTGCTTCCTCTTCCTGCTTCCCCTGAGGGCAGCTCTGTATTCAGGGTCAGGGAAGTCTAACCCCCGTCCCTGGCCCCAGACCCCAACCGGGGTTTGCCTGGGGGGGCTTGTAAGCCAGCCAGTGAGCCACCCTTCACTGCTCCAGCTAGGAAGCAGAAGGGTGGGGCCAGCCCTGCTCTCTAGAGCAGATAGCACAGCTTAGCCCAGTCCAGGGCGATGGTGGGGGGACTCTGGTTCAGCTTGAACCAGGAAGAGGTCTGGGACAGAAGTTTCATAAACTGGCTTGACCTAAATCAGTTAAGTCTGATACTACATTCAACCAGGTTTATCTTAAACCAGTTTCAGACATTTTGAAACTGGTTTATGTGCACTGAACTTCTATTCTGTTACGTACGTAAACCAGTTTCCGATCACTTAAACTGGTTTATGTGTAAGTTCTGTCCCTAACCCAGATGTAGCATGCTAAGCAGGGAAGTGCGAAAACTGCCCTATTTGAATTGGATTTTGCCCAAATAGGGGACAGTAATTTGATTTATTGCTTCAGATCACTGTCCCCGATTTTTGATTCGGCTGAATCTGAATTTGAAGATTCAATGCTGATTTGGAGAATCAGCAATTCGGACACAGGCACAGCTTTAAATGTTTTTTCTACATACCTCAAGGTACCAGGCATGGTTCATGAATGCTGTGATACTGGGGCAGATGGAGTGTCCCACAGGACCACGGGGGGAGCCCATGTGTGCTCAGCGGTGAACCCAGAACTTCCGGGTCTGGTGGGGAGCACGCGGGGGCCCCCCTGCATCCCCCCAGCTCAGCGATTTGTCTGTGGGGGGACCCCAGGTGCCCCCCCAGACCCAGGAAGTACCAGCTGCCAAGCCAGGGAGGAGGGTATGGGGGGGTCCCCCACACTCTCTCCGGCGGACCCAGAAATGCACCAGAAGTGCTTCTGGTCCACTTCCGGGTTTGCTGCTGAGTGCGCTGGGAATTCCCGCATGGTCATGTGGGGTGCTCCATCTGCACCAGCATCACAATGTTCATGACCTGCCTGCTACCTAGAGGTATGTAGAAAAAACATTTAAATCTACGTCCATATCCGAATCGCTGAATCTTTCTGAATCGATTTGGAGAGTTCCGATTTTGATTCGGAGAGATTAAAGGGTCCTCTGATTTGATCTGGCCACTGAATTGGGCCAAATCTCCTCCGAATTGAATTGGGGACTGAAGCTTCACACAGCCCTAATGCTTGTGTCCCCATTCAAATGCTAATTCTACATGAGAGAGCTGGAAACTTATATTTTCAGTTCATTGGGATTTGTCTTCATGCTTTGGATAAGGCTGGAGGGGGAACCTGTGAGCTGAACTTTTGCAGTGTTCTGGAGGATCTTTCACTACCTGTATGAATCCTGAAGTAGAATTTCAGCAATACAACTGCTCTTAAATGCGTCTTTAAGTATAATGAACAATATGGAGAGATGTCATACTGTTCTTGAATCTCATGAGAAAGTCTGAATGCATACAAAAACAAACAAATGAAGTGCATTAAAAAGTTTGTCAAGTGGTAGGTGGCCGGTACAAGCTCTTGCTGCTTCATTTACATGCAGTGACCAGACAATTTAAAGTTGTTTTCTGTTCTTTGTTGGGAGGAAACCAAGATCTTTCACAGTCTTTTTTCTTTCTTTTTTTTTTTATTTTTTAATTTAAACCAGAGAAAGAGACTTATTTACCCCTTGATAATAAACAGTGGTGAGGGCTCTCATCTAAGATATGGGAAATCTTGCTTTATCTCTGCATGACTACTGGAATTCAGTTGACCACATCAGTAATTCAGCTAACTTCCTTTATTAAATTCAAAGGCCAGTAACAGTTATACTGTTATATTAAGTGAACATTCTAGAATATTATTTCCAATAACTCTGTATATTAGACAATAAGTTTAAGATACTTATTAATGACTGTACCCACACAGTAATTACAATTACAAGCAAACTTGCAACTAGGGTAGCATAGGAGATTCTAGCTATGCTAGTTGGCTCCAGCAGATTAGTCCATTTAGCAAAGAACCCCTCTCTCATGCTCTCTTCTATATTGCCTGATTTCTCATTGCATCTCCTTTTACTGAGTTTCAGAAGTGGATAAGACCTGTCTTGAAACTTCCACAACTTTACTAGGTGTTCCCAAAACACAAAACTGTCTATGTTCCCTTTTCCTTTAGTCCCTAAACATATGGGGCCAAGTGATTGCACCTTAATCTTCTTGCTCTTGTTTACATACTTTTGTCCTAAGTTAATGTTTCTGTAGTCTCGGCACCTTCCACCCTGAAAACATTATCATTTCTTTTTGCTTAAATCATGAATTTCTGAAGATCTGATCCATATTTATGTATAATAATATATTCCACCACACTGCCACCTAGTGCATAATAAATGTTCTTGGCATACAACATGATTTCTGCAAAGATTGAAATTTGGGATTTTGAACCACATTGTGAGTAAGTACTTTGCTTACCAGATACTTACCCACAGAATACTTATTGGCTATTCATTCAGAAGTGGATATCTCTGTCCCTCTTCTTGGAACTGTTCCATTTTATATAAGTAATTAAATTTAAACTGGAGCAGAAATTTGACCCATACCCTTCCACATCCCAGGCGAGTGCCCTAACTACTGAATCTTCCACTGGTTTAACTGGAAATTCCACTTTGGACCTGGGAAATCTTTCCATTTGAAACCAATTAGACATATTTCCACAAAGAAGTATAGATTTTGATTAAGCTATATTTTCCAATGAAAAAATGGCTTGTAAAAATATATTTGCAGTCTGATCTTTAATGGAGCTAATCATATATATGGAATGTGTCTGTTTTTGAATATTTTTCCTAGTAAGTCTGTGTCTTGAAGCAATTATAAAAGAAGGTAATTGACTAGAACTGGTCAAAATTT